AAAAAAAAATCACCATGTGACTATTTATTATTTATTCATTTTTGCTTTAAAATATTTCACAACTCCTTTGGAAGCACAATTGTCTCCAGATAGTTTATTAAAAATATAAAATAAAACCACACCATGGACCCTTTTCATCCCACAGCTGCCACCAATTTATGCAAAGAGCCACTCCTTCGCCAACTCTTCTAAAACTCTTTGTATATCTTGTATAAGGTTTAGTAGTGTGGATATTCATTCACACGGTAGACAAGTGTTTCGTAAAGTATCAACAAAACTTTATTTACAATACAAGTAACATGTTTCACTTGGTCTTGCTGCACTTGTTATCACAGGTTACAGTTACAAATAACAATACTCTAAAAACACTTCTTTCCTTGGAACACTTCCAGTTACCCCCACAGGACACTCTTAGCCCTTCTTTGGGTACCTTTACCACTATTTCTTAACCAGCCTCTAAGGCTATCAATACCCCTCAGGATATTCTCTTTATTAATTCCCTCCCTTGGAGTTTAGTATGGGTCTTAGGCCCCTCTTCTGGACCTTAACCCTGTTCCACTCTGGAACCTTCCCCACCAGACCCTCACTGTCTGGAATTCAAACCCTAACTGACTTCCAACTGTTCCTAACGGAGTTTTCCCCTTACAGCCCAACATCCTATTGGCTATCGCCAGCTCAGTCCTGATTGGTTGTCACCAGGGCTGGCTCTAACCTGCCTTCTCTCCACATGTTTCATTAAACAAAAAAAGACTTCAGCATCCAAATCTGTTAAAGTTTATTTAAAAACAATATGGAGGGGGGGCGTGTTTGAGGGTTGCATGTTTGACTAGGACTCTGGGAGATGAGGGTTCAAATTCCCACATGGAAACGCACTGGGTGACCTTGGCAAGTCACACTCTCTCAGCCTTAGCAAACCTCCTCTGAAGAAATCTTGCTAAGAAACCCCTGTGATAAATTTGTAGTTGGACACACTTTGAGGGAGCATAAATTACCCAGTCCTACTTAAAGAAGCAAGTATCTTATCATAATTTTTCTTTTTTAAAGAAAAGTTCAGTTAGTTTAGTTTAGCAACCCATTTTCTATGGAATCCATGCATTTAGAGCCAAACTTGGCTATTGATTTTGTTCAGTGCATCAACAGAGAGGGACAAATTTTCAACCATTTCATTGTTCACAGCTGTACAGTATTACATAAGCTCAAAATATAACATGTTCTAGCTAGTATTAGTTTAACTCAAAATAGCTGTGTTTTGGACACCATGATATTACAGTTCAAGGAGGATAGCAAGTATTGTTACAAGGGTTATTCCCCCCCCCTTTATTCATATCCTTGTCCTTAATACATATTCCAAAGAAAAATATTTAGCAGCAGCAAGCAGTAATAAAGAGACCAAAAATGGCAAAACCACGGTATTGAAGGAAGCCTACGTGAAAACTCTGGTTGTATCTTCCTGGTTACAGAAAACAAACAGAACTGTTGAATGTGATTGCCAATGAAGGCCTGCCAAATAAAATATTGGTTTATGAAGTCAGGAAAAAACTAATTTTAAAGGTCATTATAGGTTATTTGTGGTGATGTCTTGTCCACATAAACCATGATGTCACCTAAAAAAAATCTTCATCATTTTTGTCTTACTTCTATAAATTTGAGATGGTATCTCAATAACCTCCTAAATCCACAAAATTCTCCTCTTATGAATATTTACCCTCACTCAACAAAATGAATGGAAACACACAATCCAAATATATAACTCTATGTTTGAGTGTCCTGGAGCTAGGAAAAAAATTACATTTGCTAGCTGGAAACGAGGAGATGGTGTGGAAAAAACAGTCCTTCCTTACTATTTTAAAATGCAACTAACCCCTGGTTTATGAAGGACACACGGAGGACGTTACCACACTTGCAGCAAGAGAGAGGCGAGAAAGTTGGTCGGAATCATTTGGGAACCATTTTGGGCTCATGCCGGAATGTGCCCGGCAAGCGGAAAACATTACCACACTAGAATGGAATCAGTGAGGAATGTGAGATTCCGGAATGGTTCCGCTCCGGGGGCTCGGATCTCCTGTTCACACACAAGTTGAAAGATCCCTACCGCAATCCCCCGAATTCTGGGCTACAAAGCCATCCCTAATAATGATTTCCCCCCCCAACCCCTGAGGAGAGGAAAATTGTTTACCCGTTCCGTTTGTTGCCCGCTCCAGGAACTACACGTCATAAGATGCTTCCTCAAATCCTTGGGGAATACCGCGAGGAACCATGGGCCATAAAAAGAGGAAATGCGGCATGACAAGGATCTCGTGTTCATACCTATGCCGAGATCAGCGTCATTCCGGTATAGTGCCGACCGCTCGAGTGTATTCCTTAAAACTCTCGGAATTCAAAAGGACTGAAATGAGGCTGAAATGACGCTGAAATGAGGTAGGGAAGGGCAGGGTTTGCTGCGACGTCGTGTGAACACACGGAAAAAAGTCTGAAATGAGGCTGAAATGAGGCTGAAATGACGCTGCTTTAGGGCCAGTGTGGTAACGTCCACAGAGTACACTTCAGTTTGTGAGGATTCATTTGACTGTTTAATGATTATGATAGTTGCCAGGTGGACACAGTTATTATTTTTCATTTAATGCCTACTACTGATCAATAATGAATTTTGAGACAGCAGTTTCTGTCACAGTCAGAAGGAAATGCTATGGATTATCATTAAAAATATGTGATGTGTCCTGTTTAGGTGTCTTACTCTTTTAGGGAATTAGATAAAATGCTTCCAGCACACTGAAGTCTCTGCAATACATGTGCATAGTTATACACAGCCAGCTCAAGATATTTTGCTGCAGAAGCAAGAGCCAAGATGGAGGTCCTTCTGTTTCAGCTGCAGAAGACAGACTGGTACCTAAAATTTACTTTAAATCTGGCAGTGGGATCATGGGAAGCAAGTTGGATCAGGGGGTGTATTTTTAGGGGATGTGTATCTGTGGAAAATAGCAAATTTCTTTACTGGCATTCAATTTCATTACGCTAAGACATTGCATATAATATCAGATGCAGAAAAATTCAGCTCCCACAGCATACAGTTCTGTAGCATTCCGCATTATCCATGTCTTCTAAATGTTTGTTTTTTCTAAATAATAATAATAATAAAAAGTTTCAAGTGGTTTGCCTTTTCTTTAAGTGAAGTTTTCTAGCCATTTGGTCATTTCCCAAGTGTCAGAAACAAATAGAAGTCCTGTGGAGGAATACTCTGCATAGGCTTCCTAACTTCAGTGGATATCCCTTGTGCCTTTAGTGTTATGGGAGGGTCTCAAGCAATCTGCTGCCAGATAGTAACTTTCATCCTGCATTCATTCTTGTGAAACTATGTTCTTCGTTCTCTGGTGGTCAGTAGAAGAGATGGGATGATGACCGTTTTGGGCCAGCATAGGAGCAATGCAAGTAGTGGCTTTTTACATTGCCATCTCTCTGCCAGATAGGCCTTGCTTCTAGCCTCTCAAGATCATGGGTTCACGATGCTCAGAAACCAAGTCCATTTACAAAGATCCTCTTGGTTGGATGCCCACCATGTCAGCATCCTACC